CCCACGCAACATACAAAACGTATAACTATATATGCATGAATAGAGAGTGTGCATGATATAATTGAGAATAATATTCTCGTGAGAACGTTTGTTAATGGTATAACAGAATCTATTTACGTAATTTAACGAGTTGGGTGTGGAAAATATCCCTTTCACTTCTATCATGCTAGGGGCGGTGGGGTAGCCTTGTGTTTAAAGCGTTCGCTCGCCACGCTGAAAACCCGGGTTAGATTCCCCACATGGGTACAATGTGTAAAGCCCATTTCTGGTGTCCCCCACCGTGATATTGCTGGAATGTCGCTGAGAGCAGTTTAAAACCAAACTCACTTACTCTATCATGGTAGATCTTACTCTACTATATGAAATAAGTGAATATTTTCTTTCGGATAACATTTAAACAAGATGTGAAACTCATCACCCAAATCATGTTGTTTACACTAATTACATTGTTTTAATGCTGGGAGCCAAAGCTATGTTTTTCCAACAATGTTGTGATTGTGGATGATTTTTGTTTAAACCATTCTGAAGCATGATTATTTTCTGGACATTTATCTTTTGAGATAGAATTATAGGTCGCCACCAGAATAACATATAGTCAGGTTCTTACGACCTGCCAAACATGGATTTTTGTACAATTACAACCAAAGGGACATTCTGATCCCGAAGTTCCTGGAGGTGTTGTCCATGGAGCTTCCTGAGTTCTCCCAGGCCCACAGGCAAGCAAGTAGTGAGAACGTGATATACTTGTTTTTAAACAGGAGAGAACTCAAACAAAAAATTCAAACAAATTGACATTCTGTAATACAATCTTCCTGCAACTGCGTATTCTGGATTAGAAACGATCTCTGGTAACCAGTCGTTAGAGGCGCAATATATATCGAGCGGTTACCTTCGATGAATTGCTTGTTATCGTGTCATCCTACCTGGAGGGTTTAGGACTTTATTAATTGTATCAGTCTTTGGTTTGGCTGGATTTCTCTCATATGTCTGGACTATGCTGTTTCCTGTGTTAAAAAGCATCAACAATAATATCACGGAGGAGACATAATCGTTCTCAAATCTGCGTATGCTCACTCATTCTCGGTACAGAGCGAGGCATGCAAACAAATCTGATTTCAAGTTTCTGTTTCTAAAATTTGCAGTTATTTACTACCCAGAAAGGTGCGTCGACAGGGGGAAACAATTTCATTGATGTCATCATCGTCATCAGCGTCGTCGTCGTCATCATCATCATCATCATTATCATCATCATCGTCGTCTTCTTCCGATATAGCGGTCGTCGTTATTCATTAAATTAATGCCATGTCCAAGTTCACTATCAACATGACGCGCTATCCATTAGACTACCGAGACCGCCTGCTTATTATTAGTGTTCGTTAGAGTGTATAACCACTGTTTTAACCATTGTCGTCAACAACAACATGGAGGGGCAATGTAGTTTCACGTGGTGTTTTACCAGCCCGAAAAAAACCCCGTTTTCATGAACATATGTTGGAAAATAATCCAAACTTGTATCATCTGTCCTTGATCTGCATGAACGTTTTACCCCATAGTGGCATTCATTACAGCAATGTCAAGATGTTCCTCCGATTAACGGGTGCGGGGGACAAACCGGAATTAACTTCCCCGAAAATATGTAAATTAGCAGGAATATCATTATGTGTAGCGTCGCCCCTTTGTCAACTGCGATCGAACTCATTTAGCAAACACAATTTCCTTACCACTCCTTACTGACAATAGTTGACGGTAGTTGCTGTTATATGCCCTATGGAGGTCGAGACCGTTACAACCAATGGTGTATATTCTTATGCGGGGATGGGTACACGGAGCAGGCCAATGTGAACTGCGGTAATGTAAACTGCGGTGAGGAGAGATGAATTGGTGCGGTGTGCGGTGTGGTGCGGTGAGGTGAGGTGAGGTGAGGTGAGGTGAGGTGGGGTGGGGTGCGGTGCGGTGCGGTGAGGTGAGGTGAGGTGAGGTGGGTGGGGTGGGGTGGGTGAGGTGAGGTGAGGTGAGGTGGGGTGGGGTGAGGTGAGGTGAGGTGAGGTGAGGTGAGGTGAGGTGAGGTGAGGTGAGGTGAGGTGAGGTGATTTGATTTGCTGTGGGGGCTGGGGGCTGGAGTATTTGCTGCATAGAATTGCTTCCCATGTGTAGGCCAGAAGCCTGTGATCCCATCCCCTGATTACGTCTCAATGTTTACCAGCATCCTACTTTTCTCGTCAGTTGAACCACAGTTGAACGCGTCAAGCGCATGCGTCAGTTCTGGTTTTCATCTGCCAGTAGGTGGGCGATTCAACCCGTGCTGTAACGGTAATACTGACTTTGTCTACAAATCGCTGTACAACATTAAAAATTGTTCAGGGAACACTCCCGAAAGATCAACACGACTATGAACACTCAAGCATGCAGAAATATTTTTATTGCGAATTTTCAATTTATGAAGAAAATGTAAAGACGATTAATTTTCTAATGTACTGTATTTGGAATCAGTGGGATGGGTTGTAGATGCAATTAACAGACTTGTTCTGAATGTGTGGTCATCAATCAATGCTACATGGGTATAATGTACATATCCAGGCGACACAATTCCTATTACTTAACGTTTAAAGGTGTTTTTATGAATCAGGAAAGGTGCATTTTATGTTGCCATGCAAAGCACTTTTGCATAGCGCTATTATCTGCCATGGCCTACCTCGTCAATTTCCGTCGAGGCATGTCGAAACGGGCTGAGCCTTTTTGAATACATCTTAGAATAAATGTGTAACTCTATTTGAGCATTTTAGAAATATAACCATTAGTGCTACATAATGTGCCAATTATGATTAACACTTTCCAAACAGTTACTACAACCATAAAAGCTGTTAAGCTTCGGTTGTGGGCATCTGGAGAATGGTGAGTTTTTTTACAAATGACACTCGGGAACACATTTTTGACAAGATAAGGCCTATTTATCCTAAGCTTGTGAAAACACGTGCAAAGCATATTAAAATACCTGACTTACCGCCATTCAGATATATCTAATTTAGAGGGAAAAAAGGCTTGATCTTTCATCCTTATATGAAAATACCGTAAAACCTGAAATACATTTCAGTCTCCTCTACTTCAAGGGTAATCCGAGTGAGTTTAGTTTTACGCCGTACTCAGCAATATTCCAGCTATATGGCGGCGGTCTGTAAAAAAACTCAAGTCGGGACCAGACAGTCCAGTGATCAACAGCATGATCATCGATCTAAGCAGTTGGGATTCGATGACATGTCTCAACCAAGTCAGCGAGCCTGACCATCCGCTCCCGTTAGTCGCCTCTTACGACAAGTATGGGTTGCTGAAGACCAATTCTAACCGGTGCATTGTTTTGTATTGGAACAGCAAGTACACACCTCACAGGGGTAGTGAATTGTGACCTTGAGTGAGTGAGTGAGTGAGTGAATCGAACCCGGGTCTTCAGTATGACGAGCAAACGCTTTAACCACTAGGCTACTCCTTTGTGACGTTGTGTTTCTGTGGTGTGGTATGGCTTTGTGGTGTGTTGAAAAATAAGGTGTAAATCAACAAGTCCTACACATCCAATCCACAAAATTGCCTCATAGGACAAGCACAGGTTGCCGGGTACCTGTATCCCTTACTAGGACATCCCTAGAGTCGATGTATTAACACCCGAGCCAAGGCTCTGCACGTCAAGTGGAATAAATATCATCACGCCATTTAACGCTGACATAATCCAATATACGCAAAGCGGGTATTAGGATTATGCTGCTCGACTGTTCCTATCAATATTTCTCAGTTAAACGGTATACTGGCTGTACACATAACATCGCTTCGGCTTGCCGCACGCCAAAGTAATCAGGCTTGATAGGAACACAAGGCTCCTTTTATATATAAACCGTTACTCAAGCCGGGGAGATTTCCTTTTGTGGCACAGACTTGTACTTAAACAATTATTATAACTTTCAGCATGGGCTTACTAAGCCGAGAGACATCAGCCAAGCAGAAAAGTCTCCTGTTGTGTTGAACATTGCAAACACATTTAGATACATATATTTTGTCATTGTCCGAGAAACAGGATCTGTCAGCTATCGAATTATCCTTGTTGAATGATAGCAAATTTTTTTTGTAGTTTATGCAGGAAAATATCATCTTTCGATGTACATTTCTCACGCATACAGTAAACTATGGTTATACCTATGAACAAAGGAACACTAATTCTATTTCGGTTTGGCCGTAGTTCGTTAGACCCATTTTCAATAATTTAAACACAAGTTACTTGGACCCCGAACCACAAAGTTCGTTATCCTTCATTTCGTTAAAAGCGTGTTGTTTATAAACGCAGTTTCCTGAATTTGAATTAATATTCTATGAATGTACGGATATATGGTGCATGATAATCGTTTTTATATATTCTTCCTGCTCTCAGGTTTCAGTACCTTAGGCGTGCTGGAGAAATCTGTCCCCGTGGGTTTGAATCTTACGTTTATACTGTAAGGCTTGCATCACTTCGGGCTTTCGTAACACAATACGCTGACGTGTCGTATACGACTCAGGTACTTTTCAAACTCACTCGTGGAACGAGGTTTGGTGCTTGCTGTTCGTGCTATATGTTTGTTTGTTTGTTTGTTTGTTTTTGTTTGTTTCAAATCCATGTATTCGTTTAGTATACAGTTAATATTTAATGCATTTAAGCAGAGAGAGAGAGAGAGAGAGAGAGAGAGAGAGAGAGAGAGAGAGAGAGAGAGAGAGAGAATAACGTACTATTGATGAGATAGGCACATTTGAATCAAAATCAAAACGGAAACAAACTCAAAACAAAAGAGAGAGATTGTTGATTTACTAATCTAACACACGCCCTGGCCGATCCTTATTGCAATCATACAAATCCTGTTTCGATGCTATTTTGATGATCACATTGTATGACAAGATGGGGGAAAAAACTCGACACGTCCTGTTTCTCAAGATACGGTTATCTGTCCTTCGCCTACGTTTACAGTTATCCTGTGCTGGTATATACGGGTGAATGGCTACCGTTGGCTACCCAGCCCTCTCATCCTCGGTGGGTATCTCGGGTAACTGTACACTCCCTCTATAATAGCGGTGTTCCCTGTACCAGCTCACAACCTCGCCAAGCTTCACGGCTCTAACTCATTACTGTTTCCAACGGCAAATAGCTTTAGTACATTACTTCGTAATATTAGAATCGTTCTTACCGACATTGCTAATCGGTTTATGGTTAAGACTTGCAAATAATCAGCTCGGAGTACTGTTATTGACATTTGGCTTTGATGTGAAGCATTGCAGTGAATGGATACATTCGAGTGTTGACGACCTGTGATTAAATGTCCTCAAGATGCCGAAAAGTTTTTTGATTACCAAATATTGTCGACGTCGAGTGACTTACCGTGGGGATGACGATGTCGTTGAGGAGACGAAGGATGTTGCAACCACACCCACGCGGTGTACTACAGATTCAGAGGACTGTCATAACCCTTCCAGTGATACCAGTCATTCTTGCGACGAGGCACCACCAAATTTAGGTAAGGCTCATTTAAAATATTGACAAAACGCTTATCGGGAAAGTGATGAGATGAGAAAACAAAGCAACAGGGGTCGTATAAAATTCCTTGTTTATTTTCTAGGAAAATATACTGCAAAAGAAGGTAAACATATTTTATGTACAAATGGTATCTAAACGTTGCTAGGTTGAGTGAGTGGTTGTTGTTTTACGCCGCATCAGTAATTTTGCAGGTATTTTCGGCGATTACCAGTCTGAAAATGTCGCAGAAATTCTGTAAACCTAAGATCCCAAATACAGTGATAATACCTGTATCAAATACTTTCTTCAGACCGATAAATGAGACAGAAGCAGAAGAGAGACAGAAAAACGATTTTTAAACAGAAAAGTATGTTCTGGTGTTTTTAGAATTAGAATAGAATTGACATTTAAATTTACATACATGTCCATTTTCAATGTTAAACATTTGAGGAATTCACCCATTCATCTTCCTCTTAAATCTCCCCTACGTACCATTGCACGATTGTATGAAGTTGTATCCAGCTGATAGTTTTAGAAGATATTAGACACGATAAATGTTTTCTGGGTGTTTTCTTTTGGTGTAGACACAAAAAGTATAGTCCCCGTCTCCTTTTCCCGTAGTTATAAAATATTGGTGAATCAACACCAAGAATCACATGAATTCGTAAGTATACACTATTCCACTGTGCAGTAGAACCCAGACGAGATGGATACAAAACCCGAAAGTAAAGTGCCATTTAACCACAAGCTGATTTTTAGAGTCTGGCGTAGCGTGTACACTTGAACTCGCCGATGAACGCCTGCAAAAATACGCGTTAGCATATGCACACTATGTGGCGAGGATTGCACCACAGTGGAGATATATAAGTCATTGTGGAGATGTGTAAATCATTGATGTAAGAGTACTTTGTTGTTTAAACAATATATATTCTGGTACTTAAGGCATGTACACCGGGATTGACAACAGGGTTTCCCCGATATTAATCTACTTTGTGCAACTGGCCTTGGTCCATAATATACACAACAACAAGCTACATTAATTACTTTACCAGTAATTTTAGGGTTAGACTGGTTACGTGATCATTTTCAAATACATTTATAAACAAACCCGTGAAATCCGGGTTAATATTTTAAGAAACTCGTGCTTGTCTCAAGAGGGACTAGCGGGATCGGGTGGCCATGTTCGCTGACTTGGTTGATGCATGTCATCGTATCCCATTTGAGAAATCGATGATAATGATGGTAATCACTGAATTGTCTGTACAGACTGAATTACTTAGAGACCATGTGGTTGGAACATTGGCGAGCGCGGCGTTAAACAAACAGGCAAAATATACACATGGTCAGAATAATGCAACAGAAATAGTGCATTGTTGTTAGAAACAAGTACACACATATTCTTGGACTGAAACCCGTGAAGATCCGGGTTAGAATATTCATCTTCAGTAACCCATGCTTGTCGTAAGAGGCGACTAACGGGATCGGTTGTACAGGCTCGCTGACAACGTTGACAAATGTCATCGGTTCCCAATTGCGCAGATCGATGCTCATGCTGTTTATCACTGGATTGTCTGGTCCAGACTCGATTATTTACAGACCGCCGCCATATAGCTGTAATAATGCTGAGTGCGGCGTAAAACTAAACTCACTCACTGTTTGACCGAAAGTTTTATTGGAGCTGTGTCTGTTTATAATGTCATGCATTCATATGCATACGTAATTCAATTTAACGCGATTTTGAATTTAACATACGGATGCAGAACATGTTGATGCCATATAAAGTATAAGGCTTAAGCATCATACGGGTGCAGAACATGTATGTACTGGATAAAGTATAAGGCTAATGCATCATACGGGTGCAGAACATTTATGTGCTGGATAAAGTATAAGGCTAATGCATCATACGGGTGCAGAACATGTATGTACTGGATAAAGTATAAGGCTAATGCATCATACGGGTGCAGAACATGTATGTGCTGGATAAAGTATAAGGCTAATGCATCATACGGATGCAGAACATTTATGTACTGGATAAAGTATAAGGCTAATGCATCATACGGGTGCAGAACATGTATGTACTGGATAAAGTATAGGGCTAACAGCATCATACGGATGCAGAACATTTATGTACTGGATAAAGTATAAGGCTAATGCATCATACGGATGCAGAACATTTATGTACTGGATAAAGTATAAGGCTAATGCATCATCATACGGGTGCAGAACATGTATGTACTGGATAAAGTATAAGGCTAATGCATCATACGGGTGCAGAACATGTATGTACTGGATAAAGTATAAGGCTAAAGCATCATCATACGGGTGCAGAACATGTATGTACTGGATAAAGTATAAGGCTAATGCATCATACGGGTGCAGAACATGTATGTACTAGATAAAGTATAAGGCTAATGCATCATACGGATGCAGAACATGTTGATGGCGGATAAAGTATAAGGCTAACAGCATCATTATACGGGTGCAGAACATGTATGTACTGGATAAAGTATAAGGCTAATGCATCATACGGGTGCAGAACATGTATGTACTGGATAAAGTATAAGGCTAACAGCATCATACGGGTGCAGAACATGTATGTACTGGATAAAGTATAGGGCTAACAGCATCATACGGATGCAGAACATGTATGTACTGGATAAAGTATAAGGCTAATGCATCATACGGATGCAGAACATGTTGATGGCGGATAAAGTATAAGGCTAATGCATCATTATACGGGTGCAGAACATGTATGTACTGGATAAAGTATAAGGCTAATGCATCATACGGGTGCAGAACATGTTGATGCCATATAAAGTATAAGGCTAACAGCATCATTATACGGGTGCAGAACATGTATGTACTGGATAAAGTATAAGGCTAATGCATCATACGGGTGCAGAACATGTATGTACTAGATAAAGTATAAGGCTAATGCATCATACGGATGCAGAACATGTTGATGGCGGATAAAGTATAAGGCTAACAGCATCATTATACGGGTGCAGAACATGTATGTACTGGATAAAGTATAAGGCTAACGCATCATACGGGTGCAGAACATGTATGTACTGGATAAAGTATAAGGCTAATGCATCATACGGATGCAGAACATGTTGATGCCATATAAAGTATAAGGCTAACAGCATCATTATACATGGTGCAGAACATGTATGTACTAGATAAAGTATAAGGCTAATGCATCATACGGGCAGCATGTTGGTACATGTATGTACTAGATAAAGTATAAGGCTAATGCATCATACGGATGCAGAACATGTTGATGGCGGATAAAGTATAAGGCTAATGCATCATTATACGGGTGCAGAACATGTATGTACTGGATAAAGTATAAGGCTAACGCATCATACGGATGCAGAACATGTTGATGGCGGATAAAGTATAAGGCTAATGCATCATTATACGGGTGCAGAACATGTATGTACTGGATAAAGTATAAGGCTAACAGCATCATACGGGTGCAGAACATGTATGTACTGGATAAAGTATAGGGCTAACAGCATCATACGAATGCAGAACATTTATGTACTGGATAAAGCATAAGGCTAAAGCATCATCATACGGGTGCAGAACATGTATGTACTAGATAAAGTATAAGGCTAATGCATCATACGGATGCAGAACATGTTGATGGCGGATAAAGTATAAGGCTAACAGCATCATAAGGATACTGCTGAAGATCTTGCTCATCCTCCCATGACACTAAGCGAACCCCTCCTTGCCACAACAAGCGTATCCATATCAAGCCTTGCAAGTCATCTTCCCGTTCTATTAGCATCACTCCCGTACACAGTCAAGTCATTAGGATGATCGCACCGGGGTATAACTTCCCCGGGTATTTGTACCGGGGTGGCTGTACCCAGCAGTGTGTCCCTGTCAGTTTTGTCATATCGGACTGGAACGAGTACCATCCATTGAAACAGCTGCGCAGCAAGTTCACATCTCCGTCTTAACTAACACGTGCAGCTGGCTAAGTTGTGACCCGTGTGATGGCACTCTCTAATCTGATCATCTGCTTGTTCCGGTAAGAGTCTAGCCCAGAGGGAAAGATGCAGATAATTTGATGCATAAATAATTCATAAGGCCCTATCGTCGTTTCGACAAAGACAAATCTGTTTCGAAAGAGGGGGGGATAAGAGGTACCATGTACCCAGTGAGGCTTGTTAATCTGCAACAAGTGGTATTGATCCAGTTCTTAACGCTCATGTCAACAGAACAAAGATATGTATGGCTAGATGGTATATATGTGCTTGGTAGAAGCCCATGTCTCATACGATGAGTCAGGAGATTTCCTACCAAGTAGGGACATATATTTCTGTCTGTATAGACATATATGTATATACGAAGTCGTGCACTGCGTTATTATAAGCGACTGCTCTTATGTACAAGCAATGCTCGTATGTACAAGTATACGCGGTACTTGCACTAACATATACTTCTATGTGCTTGCACTTTACATGTAAACACTCATTTCTCAGATACACAAACACTCCTTTTATACTTTGATCTCATATACATGCACTGCTCTTGTATTCATGCACTTCTTGTATGCATGCACTGCTCTTGTATACATGCACTTTTCTCACATATACGTTCACGTATACATACACTTCTCCTATGTACATTCGCTGTTCTTGTGTACATGCACTTCTATATACATGCACTACAATGTACCTGTATACATGCACTTCTATATACATGCACTACAATGTACCTGTATACATGCACTTCTCTTACATAGATTACTGTTCTCACATACCTGCACTTCGTGTATACACGCTCTTCTCTCACATATATGCACCTCGTGTAAACATGCATTTCTCTTATATACATGCACCTCGTGTATACATGCACTTCTCTTATATACATGCACCTCGTGTATACACGCACTTCTTCTATATATTTACTGCTCGTGTATACACGCACTTCTCTACATGGACCTCGTGTATACATGCACCTCGTGTATGCATGCACGTCTCTCATATACATGCACCTCGTGTATACACGCACTTCTTCTATATATATTCACTGCTCGTGTATACATGCACCTCATGTATACATGCACCTCTCTTATATACATGCACTTCTTGTATACATGGACTTCCCCTACATACATGCACTTCTCTTGTATAAATACACTTCTAAAAACATGCAAAGCTTATGTATACATGCACGTTTCTCATATACATGCACTGTACTTAATACATGCACAGCTCTTACATTCACAAGACCGCCTCCGTGGTGTAGTGGTTAGAGCGTCCGCCCGGAGAGCGGAAGGTCGCGGGTTCGATCCCCGACCGCGTCATACCAAAAAGACGTTAAAATATGGTATTTGTTGGTCCCTGCCTGGCGCTAGGCATTAATGGGTACAACAAAAAGTGGTCGGCTCGGAGTCAGTATAATGTGTCTGAGTGGGGTATTCATGATTCACTGCGGCATGGTATCTCAGTGGGCTAGCACTATAAAACCAGCTTAAGTCTTGGCTAGTACAAGCAGCCGCACATACACATACACACGCATGCACGTCGTCATATAAGCGAAATATTCTCAAGCACGACGTAAAACCCAATTTCATCTCATCTCATTACATTCATAAACTGCTATATACCTGTACTCTAGTATACGCACACTTCTCCCAATGATTTCATTCCTACATATACATGCACTACTCTCTTATACGGCACCTCTCATATTACACGTCTCTACTTTTGTACTTTTGCCCCGTATACTAGTATATACTTATATACATTCTCTTATATACACGGATCGTTATTACTCTCTGTTCCTTTATATAAGAACTTTTCTAAAATACATACACTTCTCCTATTTACTGTTTTTTCATGCAGATGCACATAAACATGCACTGCTCTTAAACACTGGTGCTATACACTGGTCCTACACTTTACACTGATGATACTTATACTCATGCTGATAAGCTTTTCATATGTACATGCACGGCTGTTACATATACATGGCTCTGATAACAAATACTGCTCCAGTTTCAGAACCAAGAGCATTTGCATATTTGTCATTATCACTTGACGCAGCACAGCTCAGCATCACTGAGAACTCCACCTGAGCGTTTATTCATAGATCGTTATCAGCTCCAACACTCATAGCGTTAGGTAGCGGTTTCACAAAAACAGGAAAAAATGCGATAGAAAATATCCCTTTTCCAAAATTGCTTAACGCATTGTACTTAAAACTTAGCTTGCAGCAGATCGTGGTCTCAAGAATGAACATACAGTAACAAGAGACTTTAATAAATTCTTGATGGGTTTAGCCGACGACTGGTGAAATAGAGAAGGGTCCTTTCTTGACTGGCAAGATAAAAATTCCATTCACAGGCGTACAACTATGTACCCTGCGAGGTGGAATAAGAAGCGGATCGTTCAAAGCCACTTTCAGTACGTACTTCATGATTCTGCATAAACAAACATTTTATAGGTTTGTTCTGCAACCTGAGCCAGAAACTATCTAATTTATTACAATGTATTTTCTATTATGCTTTAATGCGAGGCGCGAGATATAGCATAATAACCTACTAAGTGACAGGGAAGTGACAGGCTATCGCCTTCTTTAAATCCCAGGCTGACAAGAATACCAGCTGTTGGTCTGCGTTAACATTAACAACCAATCGCTTGGCACATATGGGATAACATAACGGTGGTAATTCGATACCTCCCAAGTAACGGCAAAATATGTCCATTCATCTCTTTCTGTGTGGAGATCAGTGCCCATTGTCATTAGGTAGCATCTTATCCTATTAAAAACAACGTTATTGTAGGCATAAACACCATCTTTCAGCCGTATCTCCGTTTTCTGAATGAAAATCGACTCAAAAGAAGTAACACGAGACCAACTTCCTGTCTTTTCTGATTCGCACGTCTAACGGTGGTCTATGGCCATCTTCAGCCTGAATAATACATATATACTTATATGTATTGTTATCGTATGTCAAAGGGGGGTAACTGCAGTGTGGACCACACGCCCCACCCTTCCAAACGCCCGTCCTTGTCAAGAAGACCTGCATGAATCCATTATTAAAACTGACCTCGAGATCTCGTCTCATTGTCATGTGACCGCGGGATGCCAAGCCCCGAATCATGTTGCAAGTGGCGCTATGTAACTGTTTTTGCAGCCATTCAACAATAGAGTAACTGTTCATTCATAAGGTCACGTGGTTTCCATTCAGTATTCCAGTAACAATAGGTCATGGGCGCTGTCTGGTCGTGTGAATGACGTGAATGAGTAAAGATGGACGGTCGCATTCCTCCACACCTTGTCAGACTGTTCTATGTTTGCCAACTTGGAGATACGGTTTGCTCAATGAGAAAAAACGGGTCACCGTTATGCGGCATTTGCGAATAAATGAATTCAGAGGTATTTCTGTGATAGGTCACAGGTTTAAGGATGTCCGTCTTTTCAGGCGTTGTGTTATGGGAGGTGGTATTATGTGACACATGTTGTTGACAGTATTTGTTTTTGTTTGTTGTTAAACGCCGCACTCAGCAAATATTCCAGCTATATGGCAGCGGTCTGTATAATATCGAGTCTTGACCAGACAATCCAGTCATCAAAATCATTAGCATCGATCTACACAAGTGGGATACGATGACATGTGTCAACAAGTCCGCCAGCCTGACCACCCGATCCCGTTAGTCACCTTTTACGAAAAGCATGGGTTGCTGAAGACCAATTCTAACCAGGATCTTCACGGATGCTTTGTTTTGTATTGGAACAGTAAATTATCAGAGGTGATGTATTGTGGTGTGTTGTGACGTTGAGGTGCTATGGTGTCGTATGGCGTTATTATCTGTTGTAAGAAGTGGGGTTTTAGGTGATGGTGAGGTGAAATTGGGTTTAACGTCGTGCTTGAGAATATTTCGCTCATATGATGACGTGCATGCGTGTGTATGTGTATGTGCGGCTGCTTGTACTAGCCCAGACTGAAGCTGGTTTTATAGTGCTAGCCCACTGAGATACCATGCCGCATGAAGCATGAATACCCCACTCAGACACATTATACTCCGAGCCAACCAGTCCTTGTTGTACCCATTAAAGCCGAGCGCCAGGCAGGGACCAACAAGTACCATATTTTAAACGTCTTTTGGTATGACGCGGTCGGGGATCGAACCCGCGACCTTCCGCTCTCCGTGCGGACGCTCTAACCACTACACCACGGAAGGCGGTCAGTGAGGTTTGAGGTGATGGTGAGGTGATAGTTGGTTGTCTGGTTTGTTTGTTGTTCAACGCCGCCTTCAGCAATATTCCAGCTACATGGCGGCGGTCTGTAAATAATCGAGTCTGGACCAGACAATATCCCGTTAGTCGCCTCTTACGACCAGCATGGGTTACTGTAGACCAATTCTAACCCGGAGCTGCTAGCCTCAGCTGTGCCATGAACCTATCGTAGTGAGTTTGAACCCCAGATTCGTCCTGATGATTACCTGCGTTGCAGGTGCATATGCTGCGTGTACACCCCTCCACTTTGGCTATTAAGTGAGCAACAAATGGCATCCACGTATCAACCTTTATCATCACAGGTGTCTTGGTAAAATATGGTTTCGCTAGACTTTAGGAACCCGTGAAGGTCCGGGTTAGAATGAACCTTCAGTATCCCATGCTTGTCATATGAGGCGACTAACGGGATCGTGTGGTCAGGCTCGCTGACTTGGTTGACAATTGTCATAGGTTCCCAATTGCGCAGATCGATGCTCATGCTGATGATCACTTGGTTGTCTGGTCCAGACTCGATTATTTACAGACCGGCGACATATAGCCGGAATATTGCTGAGTGCGGCGTAAAATTTAACTCACTCACTCACTCACTTTCGGAAAAATGTTGAAGTGCCCATACACAAAAACCACACACAAAAACACACAAAGGTTCCAGCATCTTTTTAAGGTCTCTTATTAGTGACATTTTTATGCATACGACAACGCACCTTTCTGCACCCCCTTAACATTGATGTCACCCAGATAACGATGTGATGTGCGACCTGGCAGACTTATATGAGTTTGTCAACAGGTTACCGCAGTCCCTATGATCAGAATATCAAGTCTACCTGGGTCGGATAATAGCTTATGCTTATTTAATTGCCAGCTGCAGTATGCAATAAACACGTGATCTAGATTAGTGGCACGATTAAAGTTATAACACATACTTGTATGACTGAAAAAAATACTATGATGTCATCTTGGGTAAATGCAGTAGTGACGCCTTTTGAGAATATGTTTTACCACCCACAGTGGGATAATGACCCCGTTCATCCATCCATCCATCCATCCATCCATCCGATCATTCATGCTAGCTCCAGACGTTCGATATACTTATGTACAAGAAAATATCTCACTAAATGTGAAAATGCTCAAAATCTACATTTTGGAGGTCACATTGTGCGACTTTGCTTGTCATTACACAACCCTGTACACTTAAAAGAGCCCACGAATACGTTGGTAAATGACCAGATGGTGGCCACATGAATATGTGAATTAGTCAGGCACCTAATCGCCAGCACACAAAGTCAGCCTGACTTTGAGGGTGTGGGTTCGAATCCCTGATGGGACTCAACCCAACAAAAGTACTAGAATATGTACTTTACTAAGAAAGCGTAATCCCAAATATAACGTATGCTACATTTGACCACTTTTTAATGGCATTGTGTAATCATAGCTTTGATATTGCCTATCTCACCATTTACTCTCAGTCGATTTTACTTGCAGATGAAGAAATTTTTCTCAAATCACCTGTGCCACGTGATCTCAATAACAATTACTTGGAGCTCTCCCCGGTCACAGTATCGTCTTCCAATGACAAGAAGCGAATGTCTCCTCATCAGCTGTTTCCCTCAAGATCCCACTCTCCTGAACGTTCGTCATATCTGAGTCCGCTGACGTCGTCTCCTATACTGACGTCACCTCACGGACCACACCCAGGGTCATTCAGCACCTCCCCACCCGCATACCCGTGTTATTACAGTCCGTATCTCCACCCTCCGCCACACCCCCTACACCATGTGCCGCACCACTACTACAACCACGACGACAGAGCGGAACACAACATCGTCACGTCACCTGGTCCAGCAATACAGGTAGCGCCTATTTGTCATCTCTATGTTCTTGATATGTACTTAAGGCATGGAAACCCAGGTGCAGTAATTGTGTAGAGTTGATTCCTTTAGCTGTGTCATGAACCTATCGTAGTGAGTTTGAACCCCAGATTCGTCCTTATCATTACCTGCGTTACTTGGGAGTTTCTTCCAAGAAACTGACATGTTGTGAGATAAACATGTTTCAGAACCCATTCATACCCCTTGCATTTTAACATCTTTAACTGTCCACATCATACTCATTGTCTTTGCCACAGGTGCCTTTGTTTTACTGTTAGCCCCATACTCAATGCTCATTGTGTTTGCCACAGGCGCCTTTTGTTTTACTGTTGGCTCCATACTCCATGCTCATTGTGTTTGCCACGCGCGCCTTATTTTACTGTTAGCCCCATACTCAATGCTCATTGTGTTTGCCACAGGCGCCTTTGTTTTACTGTTGGCTCCATACTCCATGCACATTGTCTTTGCCACAGGTGCCTTTGTTTTACTGTTAGTACCATACTCAATGCTCATTGTGTTTGCCACAGGTTCCTTTGTTTTACTGTTGGCTCCATACTCAATGCTCATTGTGTTTGCCACAGGCGCCTTTGTTTTACTGTTGGCGCCATACTTTATGCACATTGTCTTTGCCACAGGTGCCTTTCTTTTACTGTTAGCACCATACTCCATGCTCATTGTCTTTGCCACAGGTGCCTTAGTTTTACTGTTGGCGCCATACTCCATGCTCATTGTCTTTGCCACAGGCGCCTTTGTTTTACTGTTGGCGCCATACTCCATGCACATTGTCTTTGCCACAGGTGCCTTTGTTTTGCTCACTTGCCACAGGTTCCTTTGTTTTACTGTTGGCTCCATACTCAATTTGTGTTTTGCCACAGTGCCTTTCCTTTACTGTTGGCACCATATTCCATGTTAATTGTCTTTGCCACAGGTGCCTTTCTTTTACTGTTGGCACCATACTCCATGCTCATGTCTTTGCCACATGTGCCTTTCTTTTACCGTTGGCACCATACTCCATGTTAATTGCCTTTGTTGCCTTTCTTTTCTGTTGGCACCATACTCCATGTCTTTGCCACATGTGCCTTTCTTTTACTGTTGGCACCATACTCCATGTTAATTGTTTTTGCCACAGGTGCCTTTGTTTTACTGTTGGCACTTTACTTTGTTGAATTTACCCGTGTGCTACGTTAAACTAGAATCTGTGATATAACTGAAGTACTGCCTGAAGACCTCATTCCATTAAATACAATGCAAATTGCTTGAATATTGACTTGTTATTACTTTGGCAGCACCTGACAAGCGGTGGTGTGGAGGTCATCAACGGTGGCTATGGCATCAAGAACCCTTTGCTGGGACAGACGGCTCTACAGAAGGAGATAACACTGTCTAGCTGTGGTGTGTACATCTTTTACAGCTGTACAATGTACATGTATGTCTGCGCATGTGTACATGTGTATTTTGTGTGTACATCCGCAGGTTGTGCGCATACCAGTACACTGTGTGCATGTGCAGCAGGGGTTGTGTGTTTACATGTGTAATTAGTCTATGTAGAGCTATACGTTCGATGTGTAAAGCTTTGTGTGTATTCATTTATATGATTGAGTGAGTTTAGATTTACGCCACTTTTAGCAATATTCCAGCAATATCATGACGGGGGACACCAGAAAGGGTCTTCACATATTGTACCCATGTGGGGAATCGAACCCGGGTCTTCGGCGTAACGAGCGAACGCTTTAACCACTAGGCTCAAGCTGGTTAGTGCCGCACGTTCTTCGCCCAACACAGACGCAGACGTTTCAGTTGATGCTGACGGAGGCATGGGCCTTTGCCGAAATGGTCGATATGCCTAAATGACGACAACAAGCAGTCGTCTCATCACTGTGTGTACCTAACATGATGTACCACTTACAAATCTCAGTGCACTGTCTTTTATACTGTTGGTGCATATCATCCAGGATAAAAAATCTACAAAATCGTGGTTTTCATGATATCCCACGCACATTACTGTATAGGATATTTGTGGTGTTTTGGGGCAAAACGTACACAATGTTTGTCAAAATAAAATAAAAAGTATTTTTTGTGTGTGTAAAACACACACGGTGTGTACTTTCTTGTGTACATCGGTTTATATCAACCGTGTATATGCATGTGTGAACAATCCTTACTTTTTAAAGATTATGTGTAAATATGATCATGATATCATAATAATCATGGCACAAAGATGAAATATACTCTCAGTTTGAAAGTTTTAGTGTTAACGATTAGAGGATGTCATGTGTTCTGTCTGTCTGACTAGGGCGGTAGGGTAGCCTATTGGTTAAAGCGTTAACTTGTCAAGCCTAAGATCCAGGTTCGATTCCCCGTATGGGTACAATGTGTGAAGCCCATTTCTGGTATATAGCTAGAATAATGTTAAAGCGGCGTAAAACCATACTCACTCACTCACTCACTGTGCCTGGCTTTTTCCCCAACTGTAGCTTGTGAGCTGTACTATATACCTGATTCTTCTTCAGTTGAAGCAAGTAAGATGTGTCCCCCGCTGGCTTATTGCTGGAATATTGCTAAAATTAAAAACGGCGTAAAACTCACTCACTATATGTGTGACTATTCCACAATTGAAGCCAGTCAGTAGAATTATATATCTGACTATTCCCCAGGTTTAGAGAACGACAACGAGAGGTACGCATGTCGGATTTGTGGCAAGCTGTTCCCCCTTCAGCGTCTTCTCAACAGACACATCAAGTGTCACAGTGACGTCAAGCGATATCTTTGCACCTTTTGTGGCAAGGGCTTCAATGACACATTTGACCTGAAGCGACATACCAGGACACACACAGGTAGGTCGACCCAGCAAATCCTCTCATAATCCAATGTATTCTAGAGCAGGACAGATTAAGCGTACGTGTATATCCTGGTTGAATAAATGAACGCTGAACTTTAGATTCCGATGGTGTCAAGGGGTATAACTATAGTTCTGATTGCCTCAGTCTTATCACGTCGCGTGCCATTATATCTCATGTGCCAGAAAACTATTTGTTGACAAGATAAAGGAAGCCATCAAGCGGTAACTAAAGGTTGGAAGACCCGGAAGTACCACGTGAGAAATTGCCTCTCTGCATTGAAGACACCTGTATAGAGAGACAAAGGTCGATATACATGTAAACTTCAATTGAGCATATTTGGCAGCATCGCTGGCTATCTTTAATAAATACATTAGGGGATGCAACACCCCCCTGTTAAAACCCTGGATTGTGTAATGAGGAAATATATTCTACAAAAACGACTAAGGACCGTTCGATTGTTATACTAATACGCTAGTTATTCTGCCATTGCATGGTGAAGGTGCGGCATGGGGGTTGATGTTATACTCACGACCTTACTATACATCCTCTATACCAAACATACCCTTGAATATCCGGTTTAGAATTGGTCTTCAGCAACCCATGCCTGTCATTTAAAGCGACTAGCTGTATCGAGTCGTCAGGCTCGCTGACTTGGTTGACACATGTCATTGTATCCCAGTTGGGTAGATCAATGCTCATGCTGTTGATCACTTGATTGCCTGGTCCAGACTGGATTATTTACAGACCGCCACCATATAGCTGGAATATTGCTGAGCGCGGCGTAAAACAGCAACTAACTAACCAGCTATACCAGACAGCAGGGCAACATCAACTATTTATATTTCTCCATAAAGTGATGGTGGGTTGGGGTGGGGTCATATAGTGTTTAATTTTATTTGAAAACTTCGAATGTGTCTTAGATATGCAATTATAGGAGATAACTGACCAAATAATGCTTAACCCGTTTAGGTCTTACTCAGCAGTGGGTTATCCTGGTCACATGCAATTCATCTGTAATTCTAGGCAGGCAATGAAAGGGCAAGATAACACAAGTGAGCTAAGTGATGGTATACAAAATTATTTTAAAAGAGGGTGGATTTGGCAGAAGGACTAAGAACTATCGAACTTAAGTATGAAACAGGACGAAAGAATATAATCTGATACCAAGCGTACTCGACACAGACTTATGGCACGCGGACATCAACGTGACTTGAGTTCTACTGTGGATATCATTCATAGTCGGTGATTAATTCATATAACTTTCACGTATTTTGCTTAACGCCAGTGTGTTTCGGTGGATGATCCAGAGACGTAGATCTCTGGCGTTGTCGGTTGTAGTTTACAGATGCGGAGTTGATACTCAAAATAATAATTCATGAACACCTTGATTGTGATCTTTAACAACAAAGCATTTTCAGAAGCATGACGCTTATATGTGCATCGTAATAGGGCATAGATATTATCCTCTTCGCTGCATTATCTAGCTCTCTGTGTAAACATTCTGGCCTCATGAACTTTCATTTACTCTATACAATCTAACATAACGCTTGTTTGTGAAGCAAAATGCCTGTCGACACGCCTATACAATAGCTGTTTCGTTAAATTATACACCAGTAAGTAATTCTCACATGTATGTTTAATCATTAAAGCATCAATGTCCTGTTGCTGGGTTGCAATGCTTCGCTTCATATTTTGATACTCTGCCAAGACGGTAATGGAAAACTTTGTATTTTTTGCACCTCAACAAAGATAGAATTTCTCCAATCTGCATTACACTCAGAGCGATAATAAACTTGTCGTCAGTGCCAAATTTAATCATTGACTGACGGATGCCTGGATGACAAGAAATATGTATTTTGGGAGCTGTTGTGATATTAAAAAAACTTCTTCACGTCCACAGTGATTTCAATCAGGGAGGATGCTTCTCGGTATCTTTTGTGTTGGGGAAGCCATCCGAACTAATTATTGAAAGACAAACCTGCAGAGTTGAATGCCTGGCATTCCATGGTGTGTCTGTCAAGTGCATTAAATAACGATATCACAGAGAACCGTGGAATGCTATGACAGATGTGGTCTTGCACGTCGACCTTCTGTCTTCTACTGCAGCGTGGATTGACATACTACTAAGATAGCTTACATTGGACACGCAAGACGTGTATCCCTGCAACACGATATCTGTTACAGTATGGTAATGAAGCTTATTAATCTGAGTGTTTTAAGTTTTAGTTATGCTATCCGCCTTGAATCGCAATTCTCGAGTTAAAGGGGCTATAGATGTGTGTGATGACAGTTCTATCAAATTGTACTCAAGTCCTTCACATGCTTCTCTGTCCACGATCTGTTGCTGTTTTGTGTGTCAATCTAAGCAAGCAATGTCCTTAATTACACATAGAGTGAGTGAGTTTAGTTGTAGGCTGCTTGTATTCCAGCAATATCACGGCGGGGGACACCATAAATGGGCTTCACACATTGTACCCATGTGGGGAATCGAACCCGGGTCTTCGGCGTGGCGAGCGAACGCTTTAACCACTAGGCTACCCCACCGCCCCTAATCATATAGACAATGTCGCAGTGCCACACATAGCATTAACTACACCATCGTGTTATACTTCCGTGTTACTGAAAATCATCGGATCGCCTGGAAATATGGACAGTTCTCTTTGAGACATTGCAATCAGAGTTAAATTTAAACACTCCCTCTGAGTTCTTATGGCAAACCACTGCTGGGTTATGATAATGGCGTTTACACAGACAAACAGGACAGGATTAGAATGGCATAATCATATTTGCTGGGACTGCCTCATGGCCAATACTCAATGCATCTCTAATGACTGAAACTGTCCGTACAAGCAGTTGAAGTTCGTAGATTAACTTTGTAACAACACTCAAGATTCCATCAAACTATAGAGGACATATATGCACGATCAAAACTGCCAATGTCAACTGCGAGAAAGGTTGTTCTAATGTTTTACATGGATAGAATCCTTGACACAGACATATATTGTTCACAAAATGCTTTTGAGTTACTTAGAACTTAAGAAGTACCCAGAGGTGGGCTTCACACATGCGGGTATTCGTGAAGGTCCGGGTTAGAATATTGATCTTCAGTCACCCATGCTTGTCGTAAGAGGTGACTAACGGGATTGGGTGGTCAGGCTCGCTGACTTGGTTGACACATGTTATCGGTTCCAAATTGCGCAGATCGATGCTCATGACGTTGACCACTGGATTGTCTGGTCCAGACTGGATTATTTCCAGACCGCCGCCTAACGGATTGAAGATATATTTCTTAAAATAATTTCATCAACCGGAATTTCATTAATCTGGTCATCTTCATCAGGTGATTTCAGAGCAAGATGTGTTAATTTGCATGAAGCAAGAACCTTAAACTCATCTCTCTCTCACTCAATATCTGCTCTCAGGAGGTGACTTAACGGATCGGTAGCTTGATGGTCACAGCTGAAGCGTTTAATGTCAAGCATACAATGCTCATCCCGTCTATCATTTTCTTTATATTTTCAGGTGTACGTCCCTACAAATGTGCCGTGTGTGGCAAGGCATTTACCCAACGTTGTTCCCTAGAGTCTCACTGTAAGAAGGTTCATGGGACGGATCAGTCCTACGCTTACAAGGAGAGACGGAACAAAGTGTATGTGTGCGAGGACTGTGGTCACACCACGGAGGATCCAGCTCAGCACTACCTCCACCTGAAGAACCTCCACCCAAACAGCCAAGTCCTGCTCAAGTTCTATGACAAAAGACAGTTTAAGTTCTCCGACACCAGCCTGTCCAAGCTGATGTACACGTCCATGACGACGGACAGACCAGGACAATCCCTCATCACCACCAGTCCAGATCTGGACACCAGGAGCTGATGACGTCCCGGAAAGTGTTGTGTGTGATTTGATGTGGTTTGACAAGCGCCTTGTTGACTTGAAGTTCGTATTGTGAATCTTGCTTTCGTGAAGTACGTAGGATGGATTTGAGATGCTTGGGTCCACATGCACAAAGCGATCTTAGCGCTGTGACAATCGTAACGAAAAAGGATCTGCTGTAAAAATGTGTGCCCAAGGAAATGGGGAGAGAGGTGTGCGATTAAAATGAAACTGGACAAAGAGACAAGCATTGAGATTCAACTACAATGCTATTGATTTATGTGAAACATCTCTATTAACTGAATATATTTCACAGGAACGGTTACCATGTGTTAAATCGGGCTGACAGATAGATGTTCGACAAAAGGCACAGTTTAACGAAGCAGTCTTAGCGCTTCGACTTTAGTAAGTCTGCAAAACCGGACTAACCTTATACGATGTGTTTTCATTACACAAAACCCATATTAAATGACATTATAGTGAGAAAAGTATATCTACGCCCGGCCTAACTGACACAGTTTTAAAAAGCGATCTTACGATGCTAATATCACTTAGTGAAACGGGGTACCTTATAATCTTATTACAACTGAATCATAAGTCTCATGGCTAAGATTGTTTCGTTAAGCGAACCTCAGTGTTTACTAATTCACTTACTTGACAAGCGATATAACACTTATTAGTGTGGCCTTACCCATGAAATTTGATTAGACATTCAAAACAATAACAACAGTATTACTGTGATGACTTACTTTCACATCACAAAACTGAGGAAAATATTGTGGTCGTAATTATTTAACTATTTTTCCTATAATTTTTTGTATATCAGTGGCGCGTGCGTCAAGCCGCCATTTGTTGTACCTATCTGTGACATTGTACACGTATCAGTGACAGAGTACAGGCAACTGTGACAATGAGAAAATATACTTATCTTTAACAGAGTACAGGTATTTGCGAGAATGAGAGAGTATCCGTATAAGTGACCGAGTAATTACAAATGTGACAATAAAGGAATATTCGTATCTGTAACAGTGAGAGAGATATGTATCTGTAGCAGTGTGTCGCAGTGAGTACTCGCATCTGTGACAGTGAGAGGTATATATATCTGCAATAAAGTAGATCTGTGACAGGTCACACTTCTGTGACAGTAAGAGAGTACGTGTATCTGTGACTGAGTATACGCATCTCTGACAGAACATACGTATCTGTGACAGCGAGAGTGCACACATCTTTGACAGCGAGAGAGTACGTCTACCTGTGACTCAGTATACGCATCTCTGACAGAACATACGTATCTGTGACAGTACATTACTTTTATAATATCATTCGTTGTTAAAAAAAGACATTTTATATGAATTATTTTATCGCCTTTAAAGAGCCTTTGGTCAGAATAAATGTTTGAATATTGCTTTGTAAAAATAGCCTTCCCCAAGTCATAAAGACAAAAGCGCTATCACTTTACAGCGAAATTTAAACATGATAATAACGGCACTTCCTTATAACTCCTGTAAGTCATTATGCAGAATGTACAATTTGTTTGAATTGCCAAAGGTTTTGTGCATAAGGCATTGACCATTTGCTTAGCTTTAAGAGAAAAAATCTTAAATTTGGAACTCAGAATATTATAAATTGACCCGTGTTATAATTTTCAATGAAGATAAGTTAATAGCAGATTCACACTGCTTAATTGCACGGCCATGATTTCTTACTTTACACTTTTGTTGATATGTTGCATTTACATTTTGTTAACCAAATAAACAGATGTATATTTTACTTATGTTTGTGACCTACAAGTAAATTATTCGACGAGGTATATTGAGTTTGTCAATCCATTTAGTATCATCCACAGAACAAGGTTAGACGGCTTTAAATATATTTTATCTACCACCGCCGCAGACTCATCAACACTTACATGTGATGAAGAGTTCCCATACATTCATGTAGACTGAGTTAATCTTTTATTCCATGATGAATGAAACCTACCTATGCCAATGAGGCATGCAAAGGGTTATCAAACGGTTACACCCCGGAAAAGCCCCATCTGAGAAAAAACAGGCTGAAAGGACACGGCAAAAGGACACGGATGAACAACGGGGGAATGTGGCTTTGGCGGCAATGCTATTGCAACACTGTTAAGCCCCGTAATAGGGTACAGTATTTAAAATAGAAAAGCAAAGATATATACCATTTATTTTAAGTTTTATTCACTGGAGGTTTCATAACAAGCATAATTAGTATACTAACACCCACATAACTCATATTTAATTCACATCATCATCAATTCTCATAATTAATTCTCAGCATCACAAGCATACCCATAGTATAGCCTAGTATAGTTCATTGTAAATAGAGCAGGTCGGCGACATGGTCTGCATACTCTACATCAGTCAAATGCTGATTTACCAACTGTGTCTTCAGTGACCTTAGTCGGCTGTCAATATTTCTGTATTTCTTGAGTCTTGAAGCGGCTGTCCAGTAGGTCGACAGTCTCAAGACTGCAACTTTCGTAAATGATTGTTCGCGTTTGAACAGTTTGACAATCTAAAAAATGTTGGGGTGGCACTTTCGGGCTAATTTGATCTGAATAGTACTCGGGGAGATCATATGCTTGTTCTATATAAACATCATTTACATAGTCACAGCTTACCTTTGATCCTTATATCCTTTGATCATATGTTTGATCTATATAAACACCATTTGAGATCTTCTTAAACCGACGAATTATATAAACAATATCACGGGCGTTTTTGTTAACTAGTCGGTAACTCACTACTTAGTTTGTGTATTGAAAATGTGGCTTTGCCGGCAATTCCCCTTCAAAATGAAATGTGGCTTTGTCGGCAAAATCAATTTTTTTAAATGTGGCTTTCCCGGGCGGACAGCTATCAAACAGATGGTTAATGATATGAGCACCAATATACACACTGAGTCGGTGAAAGGTGTTTCACAACTAGCCACCAAGGCTAATGTATTTGTTCTGGATGAGTGAGTAAAGCTTTACGCCACCTTTAGTAATATTAAAACAACATGACGAGAGAGCACACCAGAAATAGGCTTAACGCATTGTACTTTGTGAGGGATCGAACCCGGGATTTTGGCCTGACATACTATCTTTTTAACCACTAGGCTACCCAAACTAGACCCTTTTCGCCCTTGTGATCATTTGGTAATAATAGGGAGCCTGACGTTTGCATTCAGAAAGTAATTAATTTTGGTAGAATATGTAAATTATTTTGAATTTTGTTTTGCACTGGGTTAGGTACAGTATGATGATTGTAATGAATACTGACTGACTGACTGACTGACTGAGTTTGGTTTTACACCGCTTTTAGCAATATTCCAGCAACATCACTGCGGGGAACACCAGAAATGGGCTTCACACATTGTACCCTTGTGGGGATTCAAACCCGGGTCTTCGGCGTGACGAGCCAACGCTTTAACCACTAAGCTACCCCACCGCCCCTGTAATGAATACACACGCAGAGGCAGATTATATTCCAATATTTTCTTCTCAATAGACTCCACAATAAATGATAAATAAAAACACATACGAATGGTAAAATGTGATTGATTAAATATAAGCTATGAAGGTCTGAAATGTATTTAAGTTTATTTGTATTTGTACAGATTCCCTTGCCGTTGACGTCGCCGTCTCTCATCGCGTTACCAGTTGACCCCCAAACGTCAAAGGATATAACAGGGACTCCAAACCATACAAACAAAAAATAAAACCCACAAGTAACGACTGACGTAACAAAACTGAAATCTAATCCAACCTCAATCTCGGAAATGACATCCATGACAACGGGTGTTCCTCGCACTTGATTTAGCACCGTTACATTCTCAAGGTGAAAACCGTAATTTAACGGTGAAGAACGGTCATTTCCATTGGTGTTTCAAAACCTAATTACAAAATTTAAATTGCTACTCCGAAAGCCATCGACAAATAATTTGAAACGTCGTATTAACGTGTATCTATGAAAATAGTTGGAGAGAACCATGACACAGCTAACTAGAAAATAACAACAGGTTCGAATTTCCAATGATTGTGACTCGGTGTTGGTTTGCGTAATCTATATTGTGGCTCATTTCAAGCATGATCGTGAGAAGATCTTGTTTCACAGATATTGCGCATTGTCATCAATCTTAGTTAAAATTCTTCCCTGATGCTTGGGGATGTTCGTGTCGAGTTACTTTGAAACCTTCATCAACTTTGTTGCGATTTTGAAAGGAACGTAACCATATCGTTTTGTCGGGTAGTGAGAAGTCACATAATTAATGAAAGTTTCAGTTATTATCTGAGGAGAATAAGATCAGATGGCTGCAAGATGAAAACCTCGGGTGTGTTAGACCCACCACTGTCTGTTAGGCTTCTCTTTGATAACACTCTGCCCATTTTGAAGTCATCATGGTAATTGCGATATATAAACTTCATGTCAAAAGTTTAGACTCACTAGTGTAAATATAACCACTGACTTCAGGCAACTGTTCTAAACTAAATTTTGCAAAATATTCCATTCTGTTTAAAGGAACTATTTACATATGAACTGATGCATTGTAAAACGCGGAAAATATTTTTGGCATAGTTCAATAAATGATAAAAATCAGTAAAAATTGGCGAATTCTTAACAAAACTTTGCACCAAAACGAAGCTGTTCATACACGATATTCGCACATGCTTTTCAGCAATTTGATGCATGATCCTCGTGCAATTCATCTGTATAAGGTTTGCGGTTGGTTACCTCCAAGTTAGTGGAGAAATCAATCTTCAATGTACACACACACACAACACACACACACACACACACACACACACACACACACACACACACACACACACACACACACACACACACACACACACACACACACACACACACACACACACATACATATACATAACGTGTAGTGAATGTTTTCCGTGAGTCTAAGCTTTTGAAAGGAAGTATACATAATATTATACATTCAAGTACTCATGAACACCCGTGTGGTTACCTTTCCAGGGCAATAACCATCAAGATTCTAACGGGACAGTTGGAAAGCTAGTACCAAGTCAAGCGGCAAAGTCAAATTAAGGATACTTAACTCATTTTAATGGCGCCTGTACTTGACGTTGTGAAGCGTGACGTCGATGGTGTTCCCAAGCGAACCTCTGTTTGTGCTATGCTGTAGATATTTTGTTCTCACGGTCTGAAAGAGAAACCATTATCTGTATGACTTGCATTACAATATTGTGCATTTTATAAAAACCGACTATTGTGCTGTCGTGGAGTATGCGTGGGAATCGCTTGTCCTTATTGTTATCTTGTAGCTCTTTACAGCGACAGGAAGCCATACATCAACACTGCCTTGATGAAACACCGCAGCAATAACGGAACATGCTTTATACAGATTTCACAGGTACACCCACATTGTGTATGTTAGACATATATTAGCGGATGAATAACTTTCTTGAGAGATCAACAAACAATGAGGCATTGCAAGTAATTCGCGTTTAAAATTTCAGCTTGAATAATAATTCGTAAGCGAAACATGTGATGGGTTTGTGACTTGCCCTGCCCTCTTCCGCCTAAATTAAAAATTGAGAACAACAATTACATTATTTTCTACTTTACTATGACGCAAAAGCGCACCCGTGATCCGGGTTAGAATTAGTCTAGGGCAACCCATGCTTGTCGTAAGAGGCGACTAACGGGGTTGGGTGGTCAGGTTCGCTGACTTGGTTGACACATGTCATCGTATCCCAATTATGTTGATCGATGCTCATGCTGTTGGCCAATGGATTGTCTGGTCCAGACTCGATTATTTACAGATCGCCGCCATATAGCTGGAATATTGCTGAGAACCTCCTTAAAGATATACAGAACAAAGAAAACTCAAACCAAAGAAATACAACTATTATCGTCAAAATCCTAAAAACAAACCAACCCGTCTCGTCCAACGAAACAGATTCCATCGGGTGTAAAAAGCGCAATTGTAGTGACGATACCAGGTGCCCACGTACGGGCACAGCAGTACAAAGGTTTGGACAACCAAGATACATTAAAATGTTCTTCGCTCATGCAACATGTTACAAAGCTCTGTTTAAGCTTCAGTAAACTAGTCCATAGTGATTCATACACCTATGCTTATGACATAGTCGTCTATACAACCAACTCTGCCTTTAGCAGAACATTCCGATGGATATTGAAACGGTTCTGTAAACTTTCAGTCCATTACTGCATCCAGAGATGATCACTTTCCAAGACTGAAGTGTTGCCAGAAAGAAGACCCAACAAAAGCATATTTTTAATATTTACGCCTGAAATATCCCTATAGAAAGTGTAACGCATGTACGAACGTCAGGTGAACGTCATGTCAACCTCTGCATATTTATATTGTTGAATGGAACAGAATGTCCTCTTTGTTAAGGTAAAGATGCCCACAAATACATTTGTGTGCATGCAGTTGTTGCAGAATAGTAATCTGATATTTATTGTGTGGCAGTAACATAACAGCATGATACGGTCCCTTCTGAGCTCTTTTGAAAAAGTTATAATTCATTTGTCAACACTTGTGAATTTATTGCTCAACAAGAAGCACAACATGCATCAAGGAAGAATGCACCAGCGTGCCATCTGAGCATAAATCATACGTTTTTAAATACGTCATAATATTGCTGAATAAATTTCTTTACCACCTTGCAGTTAGAGCTTCATTCAGATATGGTTTGCAAGGTGACATTGGCGTGTGGAACAGTGGAAGAGTGAGTAAGTGAGTTACTGTGATTAATAATAAAATGAATGAATGAATGAATAAATATTGTTTTAAGCC